AGCTGGCTCTCTATATTTACATATATCTGTAAACAGGTAGCATGTAATATTGTAAAAAAAAAATAGTCCCATGTAATCTTAGGTTAGCCATACTGGCCCAATTTATTAGGTGCAAGGTCATTTCCATAACAACTCAAGCCAGTATCCATTTATAATTCCTTATTGTGCTTATTTATTTATTTATTTATTTATTAAATTTATATACCGCCCTATCTCCCTTGCGGGACTCAGGGCGGTGAACAGGCGATACTAAAAACCACGATAATAAATAAATAGTTTGTTTTAAAATCGAATTAAATAACAGGCCTGTTCTAAAAACACACCCGTAAAAAAACTTATGCCATCTCCATGCTCTTAGGAAGTTCTTTGCCTTTATAATTATTCTTTTTCCACTTCTGTAATCGGATGTAGAAGTAGTATACAATTGTTGTCATTGTTGGAGTGACTTGAGCATTGTGTGTAAGGTGAAAAGCATATATTAGTTTCTCTCTGTGTTAGTGAATATGTACATATTTATTTTGAGGTGTGAAGCAAGCATTGTGGCTAACCAAGGCAAAGCTAATAAAAGGCTTACCCTCCCCAATACTTAACATAATGAATGACATAACTCACCAGTTGGAGGACCAGGATGAGAGAATTCTAAATGCAATTTCTCGTGCTCGTTTTTGGGCTGGCACTGAAGATGATGTTTCATTTGATAAATACAGGTATGTTTTTAGCATAAGTTTTGTTTGTAGCTTCAGGGCTGTTGGTGTTGTCATTGTTTTAAAATTAAGTGTGTAATTGGATAATTTCTTACAGTAACTTCCCAAAATGTATGGAAGAAATATCTGAGATACAGCTTATTATATCTTCACTGGTTTCTGCTTGTAGAAGTAGTAGTTCATCCTCTTAAAGGACTCAGAAATGTTGTGTTGGATATATGTGTAAATTCTTTCTTTATTCTTTATTGGCCAAGTGTGGTTGGACACACAAGGAATTTGTCTCCGGTGCATAAGCTCTCAGTGTACATACAAGTAATAATGATAATCATCATAAACATTAAATACATCCATCATAAATTGTAAAATACAGCATTTTATCATAGGCCATAAGATGCAACACTTAGTGATAATCATAGAATACTAACTAAGCAAACAACATAAATCATACTAGCATACTAAAAAAACAATATAAATTGTAAGATACAAGCAACAAAGTTACAGTCATAAGATGATAGGAAAGATGAGGAGTATCATAGTAATACAGTAATACATATGTATATACATAGTAATACAGGCTTTCATGCAAACTGCCCGGAGTCGCCATGTGTGAGTTGGATGGCCATATAAATTTGTTTAATTAAAAAAATATTATAAGAACATTATTTTACTGTCAGGAGTTTGGGAAATGTTTTCCTGAGATTTTACCGTGTTCTTTTACTGTGTCCCAGTAAAAGAACTATATGAATCCTCATTGGATTAGAAAACATCACATACTTTGGGGAGAGAAAAATTCACAGAATGCCAAAATAATGGCCAAATCTAATACAATTTGGTCATCTTGTGAAATTTAGGCTATTTTTTAAAATCAGGTTTAGTTTTTGGTTGCCTTGCCTAAATTTACTGCCCCCGATCTATCACTTAAAAAAGGTAAACAAAACAAATGCAAAAAATGTGTTTTATTATATGATTTCATTACTTTATATAAATGATTGTTTTTTCTGAAATAAGATGGATTCTAGAAAGTTTGAAGGACAAGTAAATCTAAAAAAATGAAACAATAGTTTTGAATGTATGGGAAGAATTTTGCAATAAATTTAATTTCATCATTCAATATTCTATTTTGAGAGAAGTCATGAAAATTATTTCTACCTTCCCAATCACTGTCTCTGTCTATAATTAGAAAAGGCAGATTAAATTTGGGAAATAAGTATAATTTGTACTTATAATAATTGTTAATTTGTATAAACTTCATTATATTGTAACAGTTGAAGTAACTTAAAAACCAATTGGATTAATAACAAATACCTGGTATGTTATCTCATGTACAGTTGTAACTATCACCTTATTTTGTGTTTGCCAT